CTCATCTGGCAACCCGATCACGCACTTCATTCCAAAACTCTCTCCTGTCGCTCTATCCCACGTGACAGACATCGTACCCCTCTCTTTTGACGCATGCGTATTAATATTTGATCAGCCATATTGGTACTCGATCGTGTCCCAGTGTTTCTTTAAGAAAATCAGGTATTTTGAACCGTAGCCGAGACGAAAGTGATAGCAAATGTAATTATTAACAATATAAACGACATATGCATCTTGCAAATATCATAATGTACAATTTGCACGAGCAAAATTTCAAAAAAATGTGCATTTATGTTTACTATCTGCCACATTGGCTTTTACACGATTATATCAACAGTGATCGCAGGATAAAAGAGTGAATTACGTAAATTGTACGGCACTGCGTGTGTCTTGTTTTGTGTAAAATTTGCTATTTGACATTTGACAGACGAACGAAGAATGTACTTGGATAAATGACGAGTGCTGCCATATATAGTGTGCCTTCTCCGATAGCATTTGTTTACGTATTTTATAATTGAATTATAAACATAACCAGTAATTTTACTTGCATCTAAAACCTTTTTATAAATAGTTGTACACGCGTGCTGTTGCGATACACTTTGGTAACGAAAACACTGCAGTTGACAATTGAGATAATGAATATTTACCAAAACAGAAAGTGTTATATGGTATAGGTTTGGCAACTAAGTACTTTTTGTATTGTGGCATAAAATAAACATATTAATTAATTAATTACTTAGATATTTATCTTTCAGCTGCACTCACAACATTCAGATTATAGCAAAACTGAGTGAAGGCGACTCTTATTTGTGACAGTTTTAGCATTCTGCAAAATTTGATATAAAAGATATTCAAATTGTGCCAGATTGAAGCTATATAATAAATGTGGTATTACTTACCAACCAAGCTTAAATAAATATGCTTGAGGACTGCATTTTTCCAATTTAACACTTCTGAGAGTTTCTCTTGGTTTGTGGTATCCAATTTTGTCGATTATTGATGGCAAACATCTGAATTAATTACTTAGTCTCCTAGGAGACCCTATAAGACAATTATAACACCTTTGTAATCTCATCAGATTAATGATGTATGAGAATTGTGGTTACTTACCAGCAAAGCTCCAATAGTGTCACACAAGTTACCAAAGATGTTTGAGGACAGTGCTCCTTTTCGAATTGATAATTCTTATATTGCTTTCACCCAGTTTTATTAACTGTTGATTGGAAGGAAACATCAGTATTGATAATTTAGTCTTGGAAAGCAAAAAAAAATATCACTTTTGTGATCCCATCCGCATTCTGGTATTCAGATAGTATCAGATTGATGCTGCATAAAAAAAATGTGCATCAGAACAAGTTCCAATAGAGTCCCACAAGTTGGCAAAGATTTATGGGGCTAACAATTTTGACATTTTTTCTTAAATTACTTCATCCTGTCATTATCATTATTTGTTGATAGCAAACATCAGAATTGATCATGCAGTCTCTTACAAGAGCTAAAATAAATGTAACATCTTTGTAAGTTTATTGGATGATTGTATTCAGATGTGAAGAATGTAGTTTTACTCAGCAGCCGAGCTTCAATAGAGCCTTACGGGTTGCCAAAGATGTGTGAGGCCACTAGGACAACTCGATCTATTCAATTT